CACTCACTAAAAAAGGCTGTTGGAAGGATTAAATGATGAAGCATGTTGTAAATGTCTGTTGTTTTATTACTGTTGTTATTATAATAGGATCACTATGAGTCAGAATGGACTAGAAGGCAACTTTTTTCTTTTTATATTATAATGTAGAGCAGAGAAACTGAGTACTCCTACGGGGCCCTGTGGGAAAACAGGAGCCATGGCTGTCACCTCCACCCCTCCCCCTAAACACTGGAGATTGCCAAATTCCTCTAGTGGATTCCTCTCTCCTCCCAGGCCTGAAGGGTTTAATATGGCCTTTTTAAAAGCCCAGCTGGGAGACACAGATATCCTGGAGATAGTGTCTGGCCCACTGTATTCTATTTCAAAACCCCAGAGTTACAGAATTTTGAAGCTCTTAAGGCTGAACTAATATTGGATCTGGTGAAGCCTATCAACCCTTCTCAACATAATATTTTTTAAAGCATAAAACTAAATACATAAGAGTACAACAGAAACCAATTATGTTGAAATACACTTATAAAAATAGGTTTAAAAAAAGGCACTTGTGATACAGTAACACACGTGCCTCTATATCAATGCATTAAATGCCAAGTTCTAATAACTGTCGTAAGTGTCAGCTGGAAATGAGTGAAAATAAAGATGTAATTTATTTCCCAGCTACGTTTGTGGACCTACCAAATTTCATCCTCCAACCTCTACGAGGTAGACCCAGGGTTAAGAACTCTTGTTTGCAGAGAGAGAGGGAAGTGTCAAATGTAAAAACTATCAGTCTATGATCTCTTCTCTCTGGATGAGCTACTTATAAAGAATTACTTCAGGTGACTTTCTTCCACCTATTTCTAAGGAAATAGCTACTCAATTCATTCAGTCAGGGAATCAAAGCATCCTATAATGATTCAGGAAGGAAACAATGCTTTAAGAAGGGCAACATATCTTACAGCAATGATTTGCCAAGCCCAGAGGTTGTTCAGCAGCTAGAGGTGGAATTTCCCAACCCTCAACACCCCAAGGAATCATGGGAGAAGGACTGTGAAGGAGACTCCAGTCAAGGGGATGAGATAACACTATCCTGAGGTCACCTGGTGTGCAGCGTTCTCATTGAAGGTTTTATAAGTAGTAGGTAAGAAAAGTGATCAGAGAAAAACATTCTTCTGATTTATATCCCTTTCAACTATTGTGATTTCATAACGAAAAGGAAAGAAAAAGTAGACGGAGTTCATACAGGAAAAATAAAAACTCTGCTGGTCATTCAATCCCTTGAACATAAGGGTATCCTAGTTGAGATGTGAAAGGCAGGGCATTATGACTTTCATCTCTTGTATGAACTTGGGTTATATCTTCAGCATATAAAAAGCATCTAAAGGCATGAGCTTCTAGGCATAGTCTCTTAGACAGTGAGGTCTGAGGGGCTGCAATTCAGTGAAATGGGCCTTGTGAATAAAGGTGATTCTGGGGTGATTTTTTTATTACAGGCTTAATTCTGACAAGGATAATGCAAATTTCTCATTCACCCACTCAGTAAGGCATCCTCACCCAGATCTACTTCCGCTGGGCATGAAATAAACTCTTTTTTATATTTGCTTAACTGAAGAATCACAGCCTCTGAACATGGAAAGGCTTTTTATCATTCTAAGGCACAAACAGGTAAAAAAAATATTACAACTTGAGTAAGCATTTCTATTCTAAAGACGGCTTTACCAAAAGAGAAACTATATTAAATAGAAAGGCAAATCCTAAGGAATGGAATAAAGACCTACACTAGGTTATTATATTTCTGGAATATGACAGGAAAATGAGAAACTGTGGGATGGGCAAAACCGAGAACTAAGGAGAGCCCTCACAAATACAGCTAACATTTGAACATCAACAGCAAAACCACAGAATTCCAGTGCTGCTGACCGTGACAGATGAAAAGCTACTGTATATTAATTTCTCGGTTCCTGGAGAAGTCTTTTTGACAGACGCTTATATGGCTTACAAGTCCTATTACAAGATAAAAAAGGTAAACTATTTTAGAAACTTCAGTCTGGACAAGAAATACCAACTGAGATCATTATAAGTATCTCCATTAGTCCTTGACCTAGTTCTGCATATCAAACACAGAAGTTCTTGATTTTACAGGACTCACTGTGATAATTTATTATAAACCTGGGTTGTCTGTGCTAATAAACACGTTCTTTCATCTTTACCTTACAAGTGGTCACAAGTGAAGGTAATTTAGTCAGAATCTGCAAAATAATTTTCAGTTTCAAATAATATTTGCTTCCCAAAAAATATCAGAGTTCACTATCAAGGGCATTCATGGAGAACATGAGAAATGTACAAACTTTCTTTCCTAATACTCTATTACCTAAATATTCTCAACATAAAAGTTTTCAATAAAAATTCAGATAAGCTCAGCAGCTAATTCCCATCGTGTTTTTTTTTTTTTTTTTTAAATACTCCACAAAGATTGTACATGAATTTTGATATTTGAGCTGGCTACGTCTGAAAAATTGAGGATGAAAATACAGACACAAAATCCAAAGCTAGCTTCACTTCAATCACAGCCTTTCGCAAATTCACATGGCAATGTGATCACTATGCATAATAGTTCATGGAAAACAACAAGGCAGTACTGATGCTCAATTTTACCTAGATTTAATCGCATCCTAGGAAAATACCATATTCATCTAGATTGCCAAATATAACTGTCCCATGTTGCCAAAATCAGCAGTATACATTAATCTAAAGACAGTTGGATATGTTCTTGGGAAAGACAAAACATCAGTACTACAGGCATTTGCCAGGTCTCTGCTGGGAACAAGTATTTCAAAGAGGTGAAGAGATTTCAAAAGTCTATTTTTGCAAAAGCTTTCTGGTAACACCTACCATTTCTTAAACTTCCATATTTCACTCTCATAAGGCAGAAACACACCATCTGAAGATGTTAGGGCATATGAGTACTTTAACATCACTCACCTTTTCAGGCACGCAAAAATAAAACTTAGAAAACTGAGTATTTCAGAACAAGGCTCTTCTGTGTGGGTGTGCATTTGTAAAATAACGGTAGAATGACTCCAACAGATGATCACCCAGTGATCAAATAGAGTCTCGGAAATTCTGTTTTGACAGTTACTTGTAGAACAGCGTTTTCACCAGAGATGAATTCAGAGCTGGGTAGTGATATATATCATCAAGGCTGAATTAAAACTAAGTTCAAACGGCTGAGTAATAATAGAGTTGAAGAGAAGTGTAATAGGTAATCTAATACATGATACGTACATGGTACCTTTAGATACGTTACATTCAAAAGGTTACTAGTTTTGGCAGCAGAAATTTCATTCACATAAAAATGCCAGTAAAAAATGTCCTTCCATTTAAAAAGTGAATTTTTATGAAAACAGGTAATCTCCCAAGATGGCAATCACTTATTAAACTTCTACAGTTCAAAAAGAAGATGGCATGATGGATCAATATGTCAGCTGAAAAATATGCAGGAGTGTCTTATGAAAAACACAGCACTCTAGATTTCATGATACCTGTAGCAGGGGATTAAACCACATGCCTCTGCTGAACTAGACTTTTGTTTCTCTGTATGATTCTGTAACTTAGGCCACTGAAGTTTGAGGAGTAACAAATATTAGGTTCTCACTTCAACCACATATTTTGAAACCAAGAATCTTGAAAAAACTAAAAGGATAAAGTTCATACTTTACACACACACACCCACACACACCATTTTTCTATTCTGAAGAGCACAGTTCTCCGATGCTGTCCTAACCTCTTTGTGGACTGCCCAGGTAAAGTCACCAGTGGCTTTTCCAAGTCTTGTTTACTTTACGAATCTGATTTTTCTTTGAAGGGGAAATTTAATTCTCTTTGAAGCTGTTACACAGCTGTCTATGTTTGGATGACAATTACCGCCAACCAAACAAAACTAAACAAATGCCCATAACTTACAGACCACCATGTATCACATTTAGGGTAAATAAATGGCAACTTTCCATGAATGTTTTGGTCAAAATTAAATTTAAATATGTGCTACAAAACAATAGCTAGATACTACGAGAGTTAAAAAAGAGAGAGGTTCTCTCCCAAATACATGCGTATTTATGGAAATATAATGAGTATATGCATTTCTGTCTAGAAAATGCTATTTTTATGATATTTTTATGATTCAAGATAAAGGTGCACACACACACTTTGAAACTGGAGAATTCCCTATCTCCATACTGGCGGCACGGTGGTTAAGGCGCTCGGCTTCTAACCAAAAGGTAGCAGTTGGAACTCACCAGCAGTTCCTAGGGAGAAAGCTGTGGCAGTCGGCTTCCGAAAAAATTTACAGTCTTGGAAACCCTATGGGGCAGTTCTACTCTGTCCTATACGGTCGTAATGAGTGGGAATCCACTGGACGGCAGTGGGTTTGGTTTTTGTATACAATAGTTTATACAGTCTATAGTCAGAAATAGTGTACTATAAAGCCATGGTCTAATTACTTAAGGAAAACCCAACTTTAAAATTCTGAAAATAAGGCTACTTTTAGTCTCTTTCATTTATATGCTTTTAGGAGGCCCAACACTGCTCCAACGAATGCAAACCTATCAGTGTTTCTTTAAGTGGAAATGTTCAATCATTTCTATTACTTTCCCAGAAGAGGTAAGAAGATCCACACGCATACACGTTTACATGCACTGCACGGTGCCAACTATTTTCAACGAAAAGAATCGTATACACGTCGAGCCAAGCTATTTCTAGCCGAGAAGCGGGTGAACGTCTGGACAGTCTGAAGAAACCAAGTAGGCGATGACTACAGGAGAACGGGACGGGTGACAGCGGAGTCCCCTGCCTCCCGCGCGCGCTGGACGCCTCGCACCCGGCACCTGCAAAGGGGCCCCGGCGGGGTATCCGGGCGCGCGCGCACGCGCGCGTCTGGAACGCACCCACGGGAAACAAACAAGCCCCGCGGGCCCGGGCAGGCGGGAGCATCCTAGGGAAAGACCCGAAATGTCTTCTCCTACCTGTCACTTTGCCTGGAGCTGCTGCCGGGGATGCGGACACGGCCGCCGCCTGGAGACCCAGTGTGTGTGCGCGCGTGTGTGTGTTTGTGTGTGAGTGCGCGCGGGTATGAGATCTTGTTTGCGGTGCAGCTCACTTACTGCTGCCGGCACCCCACCACCACCCCGCCGCTAAGAGCCGGCCGCCAAGCCCCTAACCGGCGCGCTCGGGTCCCGCCTCCCGCCCCCCCGCTCCGCTCCCCCCAGCCTCCGCACCTCCCGGGCGCGGGTTCTTACCTCAGCCGAGGGCGGAGGTCCCCTCTCTCCCTCGTTGGCGAGCCCACTGGGCAGCGCCGGCCCGCTCCGTCCGCCCGCCCGCCCGCCCGTCCGGGCCGCCGAGCCCACGCCTTCCCGACTCTCCCCTCCGAGACGCGACCTCAGATCAGACGTGGCGACCCGCTGAATTTAAGCATATCAGTCAGCGGAGGAAAAGAAACTAACCAGGATTCCCTCAGTAACGGCGAGTGAACAGGGAAGAGCCCAGCGCCGAATCCCCGGCCCGCGGTGGGGCGCG